ATTGAAATAATTGTAATATCTTTACCTTCAAAATTCAGCATAAATTTACTTTTAACCCTTTACATTAATAAATTTATAAATTTTAATTACTCACATTATATTATAATATTTTTAATCCCTCATATATATGAATCGAAGAAAATAGCCTTTATTTAAGTTCTGTTAGTTGACTGTTTGTTTTGTTAACTGACTGTTAGCTCTATTAACTGATTGTTAGCATTCTATTATAAAAAATAAAAAATTTAAATTCAATTTTATTTGTTAATTTCATTAATAGAATGTTAACAATCAATTAATAGAATCAACAATCAACTATTTATTTTTGTTGATAAAAAAATAAAATTAATTACCAATTAACAAAACTAATAATCAATTAACAAAACTAATAAAATATTATAATTTAATGTTAAATAAAAGTTATTTTCTCTAATTTATTGTATAAATAAAATGTTAAAACTTATAAATTTGTTAAAATAAAAAGTTAAAAAATATGTTTTTCTCTAATTTATTGTATAAATAAAAAGTTAAAACTTAAAAATTTGTTAAAATAAAAAGTTAAAAAATATGTTTTTACCCTCAAAATTCCCCCTGGTTCCAAAAAAAAAAAAGGAATAGCACATTGCACAAATCATACAAGTAGATGAAGCTGCAAGCTGGACCGCTTAGTAAATTACAAGACTAACCTTGGAACGACATGATATATGAAAGAGACACTTGCTTTTAAAGTCGTCAACAGACCACGAGGGTAAAAGAGGGCAATAGGGCCCCCCGCTTTCAGACGCCGTCCCAATCACCATTCACAGCGTCGCTTTCGCGGAGGTAGTAGGGACAGTTTCGTCATTTTCTTGCCACAGAAAGAAAAGCCTCTTTTTTGTTTTCTTCCTCGATTTTGGACCAGCCGTTCAGTCTTTTGTCCCTTTTGCTGGTCCCCCGACCCAGTTGTCCAATCCTGTTCGATCCGGCGCGCAGACAGAGGGCAAAAACTGAATTTCATTCTCAAGATGTTTGTGGTTTCAAGTTTAGTTTGCAACAAAATTTTTTCTCTTTAATTTCTGGAAAATTTTAAGGGTTACACGTGGATAATTCAGTTAATAATAATAATAATATTATTATTATTAGTATTTTTTTTAACAATTTATAATTATTTACAGAGTTAATTGAGAGAGGAAAGAAAAGATTTTCATGGAGTTAGAACGTATAACCCACAAAAGTGAACAGCCTTAAATCAAGTTCAATGTCACTTAATCAAAGTGAATTATTCATTATTAGTACTTATTGTATTAGTAGGATTAATAGGAAATGAAAGTGCACCAATAACTCTAGTATCTTTGTAAAGGGTTCGATGTATAGCTGTAGCATTTTGTTAGTATCTCCCTTACCCTCCAATTTCCCACCGTTCAAGAAAAAAACTTCCTTTATTTGTTTTGCTCAATTTGAGGGCATAAATTTGGTTTTATTCCATTTTAGTCTTAGGTATGTTTGTTTTGATAAAGATAAGAGGAGTGAAGGAAAGGAAAGGGAAATTAAAAAAAAAAATGTTATGTTCTTTTATTGACCTCCATTTTTCTTCCTTTCAC